TCTTATTAGGGAGCTCGCTCTTAATAGAGAGCTCGGACTCCCAGTAGGGAGCTCGGACTCTTGGTAGGGAGCTCGGACTCCTAGTAGAGCGGTCTGGAGTTCGGGCTCGGTAGTGAGCTTGGACTTGCTTCCGATGTTCGCTTCGGGCGCTCTACTGTCCCGAGTTGTTTGCCTTTGCCACGTGTCGGACATTGCGAGGTCGGGACAAATTTCCCTTCATCAATTATAATTTAATGTAAATATATTTAATATACATAAAATTATAATTAAATTCAAAATGGTTTTGGATATGAATAAAGTTAATAAATTTTGTAAAATTTGATGGAGTAATGGAGATGAGAGAGAATTAATGGTATAATTAATAAAGAGAGACTATCAAAAGAATTAATATTTAATAGTCTAATGGGAAAGAAAGAGTTAATGAAGAGTGTATAAAAGTCTTAGGTGATTGGTCGGTATTTGAATTATTTTATAATAAAAAATTCAATAAAAACAGAAAAAAAAAGATTAATACTTTTGAGAAAAAACCAGAAAAAAAAATATGTAGTTTTGAGAATAAACAAGAGATTGCATTTTAATATCCTTTTAGATAAATATCCGAAAAAAAGTTTCGTTCAGACTTGGGAGATGGCAAATTCGCAAGGCAGTGATGGCACTATCTTCGTGGTCGCGACACAGAGATGTAAATTCATCTTAACCGGGTCCCATACTGACTTGTCGTTGCCATTGGCCCAGTGTCAACAGAATAGACAGTTGGGTAGCGTGTTCGAGTTTCATTGGGAGAGGTCGCATCATCACAATGAGATGGGATCTGCTCCTCACAAATGGGCGCCTACATCCACCGTGCATTGGAAGCATCTCCCGTAAATAATAATTAATAAATACGGAAAATGTTCCCGATTCATGGTAAGATGTGCTTGTGAGGCGCCCGGTGTGAGGAGCAGATCTGGTCTCCATCGCAAGACAGTGCTGCGACCAGCACCCCGTCGTAGTCGCAGGCTCGCAGCCGATGTAAACTCCTCGTATTGCGATGCGATAGTGGGTTCCGTAATTCGGGAACATGGGTTCTTTACACAAGTTGCTCTTTCTGTGGGCGATTTGAGCAGAACGATGAACGAAGAAGACCGTCCCCCATCCCATTATCCTGACCCTATCCATCACGTCACTTTTTCAGGAAACAACGAATGATAGACACGAATCCCTCAACTGGTACACTTGGCTGAAGTCGAACCTCGGTATATAATATCTACTTTCTAAGTTTGTAATTGCTTCTCGAGGTGGAGAGGGGAGGAACAGTGTCTCAGAAACCCAATCTTCCCTTTGGTTTGAATTTGCAGAAGCTCAAGCGAAAAGGTACGCCATGATCTTATTTTGTTTTCTTGCCATTTTCATCAACGACGTTGTAATAACTTTGAACTCTCTGAACTTGTAAAGTATTCTAAAACCTGGTAACTGATATGTGGGGATTTAAGAGAACGAAAGATCAGGAATGGGAGTTTTTTTTTTTTCTTTTTTTCTTATTTGATTGTTAACTTCTAGTGCTGGAACAAAGGCTTTGTCAGTTTGTTCTGACACTCAAAATATATTGATAAGTCTCAGTTCATAGAAAAAGAAAATTAGCCGAGTCCTCCCATACCGATGTGAAGGAGTCCAAGTTAATGAAGAAATTTATACAACATCAAGTATGAACCAGATGTCCAATTGGCTCTGCCGAGTTGGGAATTGGGACTGGAGAATGTGTTCTGTCTTGTTTCTTTTATTATTATCGAAAGCAAAAGAAATGTGTTTGGGACATGATTTGTCAGTTGGGTGAGTAATTAACGGCATAATGCATTTGATCTCTTTTGAATAGATAAGATAATGGCACAAACACAAGAAGCTAAGGCAAGTTCGAAAATTCCAAGTTGTGATGATTATTTTGCTGCCATTCAGTCTAGGAAGAAATTGCCATATTCCTTACAGGAGACTTTAACGGCCGCATTTGCCAGGATTCCAGTTTCATCCTTTCCGGATGTTCCAGGGGGTAAAGGTGATTCCGCTTCTCTTTTGTTTTTGTTCAGAGTTCATACGCTTCGTATTAATATATCTATCTTCTTTCCCATTTTTTCTCCCACATCTTATGGTCCCTACTTTTTCCTTATTTTTTCTGACTATACTTTATATTTATTTGGTTTTCTTTTTATTATTTGTCTAAATTATTTATTTTAGAGATGAAGGAGCCTAAATTTGTTATCCATGACCTTGAACTGTAGCCTCTGAATTTGTTGAAAATCTTCTGTCCTGAAGATTGCCCTGGTACTGGTGCTTCTAACTTTGGTTGGGTGGGGAAAAAGGTTTAGAAAAGAAATGGTTTTCTTGGAATTTGGAAATAGGTTTCCAAAAAGCCCATTTCCCAACACATTCATTTCTTGTTTGGCTTAACACAAGGAAACCCCATTTTCATTATTTTCTATGACAGCCAGAGACAGGAGGTAGAAGGCTTCAAGTTGGGGTTCTGGTTTTGAGACTTGAAATGAGCCTACTCACTTTTTCTGCCTTGAAAACTTAACCCGGTAGACAACATGAAAGTTTGGAGAAAGGAAATTATTTTCCAAGAAAGAGGGACATTTTGGGAAATGGATTTCCAGAGGAGTTCTTTTTTTCCTACATGCCAAAAGGAAATCAGTTTTTGGAATTCGGTTTCTGCCCAACCAAATAGAGTACGTAAGTTTTGAAAAACAACCTGATCTTGTATTCTTCAAGCATGGTGCCAACTCTTTTCGCCATCATCATGGTGAATGCATCGCTAAGATGATAAGCCCTGCAATTTGTTTTGCATTTTTCTATTCTTGCAATAATGGGCTCCACCCATTTGCACATAAAATAAGGGACAAGGTATAGTTTTCCAGAAAATGCAATTTTGCAGTGTTTGGTTGCAGAGTAGCCATGGAAAATGAATGCTTTCATAAAAGTGAGTAATAGCTGTAGGAAAATGACATTTCCTCTTATTGAGTATGATTTGCATTCATTTTATGCATGCACATATTTTAAAATTGAATAAAATGTATGATTCATAATATATTATATTATTCAGAAGAATCATTTCCTGAACTGATGTATACTATAATATTAGAGCTCCTATTTGGCTCGTCTCTCTCCCTCTCATGTTCTCATGTTTATGTATGTGATTAATGACTAACCAATTTCTGTAAATCACGTGTGTGACAGTTTTCCTAGGTAAGACCGAATTCTTCCTCTAACCTATCAATATCTGAGATTATATCATTTCATTTATCTATTTGCAGTGATTGAAATTCTAGCAGACGCATCCATTTCTGATGCAGTTAAAGTTCTATCTGAAAACAACATTATGTCTGCTCCAGTTAGAAATCCAGATACAAAAAGCAGTATGGATTGGAGGGAAAGGTATCTGGGAATTATAGACTATTCTGCAATCATTCTCTGGGTGTTGGAGAATGCAGAACTTGCTGCACTTGCTTTATCAGCTGGTTCTGCAACTGCTGTTGGAGTAGGTACAGGTGCTGTTGGTGCTATTGGAGCATTGGCTTTAGGTGCAACTGGTCCTTCTGCAGTTGCTGGGTTGACAGCTGCTGCAGTTGGTGCAGCAGTAGCTGGAGGTATGGCTGCAGATAAAGGGATGGGGAAGGATGCTCCAACTGCTGCTGATCGTCTGGGGGAGGACTTCTACCAAGTTATCCTTCAAGAAGAGCCTTTTAAGTCAACCACAGTAAGATTAAATTGTGTTGAGGTTTTGATTTGCACGAGTCCAATTATTTCAACTTTCCACATAAAGAAGAATAATCATATATCCTATCCCTCGATATTGTTTTGCTTATAAAAAAATCTTGATATTGTTATAAGCATTTTTCTCTTTGTTATTTCAATTGTCTGTTTCTGCAAGAATATTTAATATATTTAGCATCAATGGGTTTATATCTCAGATTGTCAATGAGAAGCAAGATTCAAACTTTCTATCTAGCCTTCACAGTTTACCCTTCTATAGTCTAATAAATGACCAAATTGGCATGTTATATTGTATAGCATTTTTTGTTGAAGGTAAAGTATTATAATGCAATAGAAAGAAAACCAAATTCATCAGCCCATGTACAATGAGAGCCTGTACATCGGGAATATACAAAAAGACCTGAGAAATCAGTGATAACTTCCATTTAATGAATCTTACCCACCACGGGGTAAGCAAAAAATTGACTCAAGGAGATGCTTATAATTACCTATTCCAGAAATAGTTTGTTGGTCCATTTCTACCATATCATCTATCCATTCAGCAAACAGGTTGGGATAATCTGACTACATTATCTTTCATATTTTTTTCTTTTTTGTAACAGGGGAGGGGTGATCTTGATAGAACACTAGATGGGCAGCCTTGCTCAACTACCCATGACCCACCCTGTTGATGCATAGCAAATGAACAGCACAAGAAAGGAGAAGAGCTTTTTAGCTTCTCACCTTGACTTGATTACTAATCCAATGATAATGGGTTTTGTAGAATTTACCAAGTTTCAAGGCTGTAACTTCTACATTTTCTTTGAAATCTAGTCTCCAGTATGTGTCTGTCTTTTCTTGGTGGCAACTTCTCTTTATCCTTGTTGTAAATTGATCTCATATTTGCTATTACTAATTATGTCAGGTGAGATCAATAATCAAGTCATTTCGTTGGGCTCCTTTCCTTCCTATCTCAACAGATAGTTCCATGTTGAGTGTGTTACTGCTGCTCTCCAAATATAGATTGAGGAATGTGCCAGTAATTGAAACAGGCAAGCCCTTTATTAAGAATTTTATTACTCAATCAGCAGTGGTGCAGGGCCTTGAGCAATGCAAAGGGAGGGACTGGTTTGATTGCATTTCTGCACGTCCAATTTCTGACTTTGGGCTTCCTTTCATGTCTTATAATGAGGTAAAGATTTGCATAACTTCTACATATATACTTTCTTTAAAAAAAAATGTAGATATATAGTGTTGCCCTGTATCTTTCTGTTCTTTTTGATGGAAGTGCCAACAGTTAAATACATTGTAGCCATTTCCATCTTCATAGGTAATAGAGGACATACTACATTACCTACATTCATTCATCAAGATGTGCATGCACAGCAATGGTCTTTTCCAGTTTTCCTAGAGGGTAATACAGGTCCTTGCACCAGGAGATTAACCATTCATTATGAAGATGATGATGGGTGGAATAGGTGGAAGAGAATGACAGCAATGCTTTGATGTAAAAATAAATAAAATGTAGCTACCTTTCTAATTTCATCAAAATTATAGAAGAGATTTCACACAAAAGAAAAGTACATCAGAAGCTTTAAAGTTTTTCATCCCTATTATGATTCTCTTTTATTTGCTTAGAAGCATACTTTAACACCTCTGTCCAAGTAATTGGTTCTCAATTACATATCTTTGTGATATGTACAAATAAATGTGTTATATTATTACTGTCACTAATATATACATTGTTGTTTAACATGAAATCTCAAGAACATTCTTATTTACTGGTGATCAGGTGATTAGCATCACGAGCAATGATCTAATTTTGGAAGCTTTCAAGCGCATGAGGGACAACCAAATCGGCGGTCTTCCTGTGATAGAGGGACTCTCTAGGAAGATTGTTGGAAGTGTCAGCATAAGAGACATCAGACATCTGTTGCTTAAACCAGAACTCTTTTCCAACTTCAGGTATCTTGGAGGTTACAAACTTACAAATAAGGATTTCAATTGAGAACCTAGAAAGTATACTTAGTCTTAGAGTACCAATTCTATAACTATATTTAAAGAATAACTGGATGAGGGTGGGCCTTGGTGCAATGGTTGGGTTTCTCCATTGCGACCAGGGTTCAAATCTCGGAAACAGCCTCTCTGAATGTGCAGGGGTAAGGCTGCGTACATCTATCCCTCCCCACCTCCCCAAACCCCACATTGGTGGGAGCCTCATGCACTGGGTTGCCCTTATTTAAAGAATTACTGGATCTGGATCATTAGATCTATGATGAACCTGTTGAATGATTTGTCCAACTTCACCATTTCCACCCTCTGTAGTGTATGGCTATATGGCTATAAGCAAATTTACTTTAATATCCATAACCTGTTACTCCTTGCAATAGCGTACTTAGGTAATGTCATATTATGTGGCCTGAAGAAGCTCACTTTACAATAAAATTATTTGTATTTACCAGTTATCGCTGTTTGAAATCATTAGGCATTATTGTTTCAGTTGCCTTCAATAAACACATCAGTAATAATCAGAGAAGTTTCAGAACTAGGACTTACCTTGCATCTGAGGCCATCTGTCCTTTTTTGCAACTTTCTGTTATTTGTTCTACATATTCTGGTTGCGGTATATTCCCTGCATTTTTTTTTTTCTTGCAGGCAACTCACTGTGATGGACTTCCTGAAGACCATTGCATCAACTACAGAAGAATCTGGGAAGGTTGTCCACCCAATAACTTGCAATCCCAATGCACTACTTGGTAGTATAATTGAAACTCTTGCTTCCAAATCAGTTCACAGGATTTACGTAGTGGATGGCGAAGAAAATGAAGTTGTTGGTATCATTACCCTCAGAGATGTGATTTCTTGCTTTATCTTTGAGCCTCCTAACCAATTTGATGAGAACTTTGAGTTTGCTATAAAAGAAATGTTGAACCAGTGAAAGTTTTGTACTTGGAGACAGTAATCACTTAATGAGAAGAATATGTAGAAAATTTCAACTCTGACTATAGACCATTGGAGGGCTCTATCCTGTAATTTCTCCATTGATGCATTATGTAAACCTGGTTTCTTGTGCCTCTCGTATCAAACTACAACCAGCAACTTTCCTTAATCCTCTTTCCTTTATCATCTCCCTTATCCTTTCTACGCCCATCCACCTTCCTTGTCCAGCATATATATTTGAAAGAAGCACATAGGGAGTAGGGTTTCCAGGGTCCGACTCTGAAAGCTTTTCAGCCATTTCTTCACCCAGATTAGCATCCAAGTTACATGTGCAGGCACCAAGCAAGGATGCAAAGACAGAAACTGAGGGTTCTGGTATTTCCTGGATCAAGTCTCGAGCCTCATTGAGTCGCCCAGCTCGACCCAAAAGATCAACCATGCAACAGAAGTGCACAGTGGTTGGAATCAAACCGTAAACTGTACTCATCAGCCTAAAGAGTTTCCATGCTTCGTCAATGAGCCCAGAATGAGCACATGCAGATAAAAGACCAGCAAAAGTAGCCAAATTTGGTTGGACCCTCTCTTCTTCCATCCTGCTGAATATTTCGAATGCAGATTTATATTCCCCATTTCTTCCATACCCAGAGATCATCGCATTCCAAATTGCTGGATCTTTAGTTGTCTGTGCGCAATAAAAAATACGGAAGGCCCAAGAAGAATAACCACACTTCATATACATGTCAATGAGTGCAGTACAGATGAACTCGTCATCAATAAAACCAGTCCTAATAATGTGTCCATGGATCTCTTTCCCGCGTAGAAGAGCAGATAGAGCCGAACAAGCTGGTAGAAGGCTTGTAATTGATTTTAAACTGGGGGCTACCCCCTCTAGTTGCATTCTAGTGAAGAATCTAAAAGCTTCCTCCGCCTTACCTAGTTGTGAAAATCCACTGATCATTGAATTCCAAGTAGTCGAATCTGGTTCCAATCCATCCAATATTAACTGCTCAAATAGCTCAACAGCAGTCTCATACTGACCATTTAGCATTGTTCCTGATATCATGGAGTTCCACGCAACCAAGTTCCTATTTTCACCTAGCTCCTTGAATATTTCGTAGGCCGAGTTCCAACACCTGCATTTGGCATACATGTCTGCGAGTGTTGTTCCTACCATAACATCTGAACTGATATTGTGTTTCAAGATAAGGCCGTGAACCTGTCTACCAAGTCGGGCATCCAATAGAGAAGAAGACGCTGACAGAACAGAAACCCAGGTCACTGTACTAGCTTCTACTCTCGAAGATTCTCTCATTTCCTTAAACACGTTCAAGGCCATCCGAGTGAGACCATTCTGCAATAGCCCGGAGATGAGAGAGTTGTAGCTCACGACATTTTTATCTGGAATCAGTTTGAACACCCTCGTAGCTGAAATTAGTTCCTGGCAATTCCAATACATTGTCACAATTGCAGTGGCTACATAGACATCCCTCTCCACTCCCAACTTTACTGCAAAACCATGAACTTGCAGTCCATGGTCCAGGCGTTCACATGCAGGTAATACGCTGGCTATAGTAACAGAGTTAGGCTGGAACCCACGGGCACAAACCTGTTGGAAGGCCCACAGAGCCTCTTTAGAATTCCCATGTTGTGAGAAGCCAGAGATCGTGGCGTTGAACAAAGCTATATTTCGTTGGGCTATTTTGTTGAACAACTTGAGAGCATCCTCTAAAAGGTGAAACTTTATGTACATAGATATCAGAGCGGTGGCCGCATAAACATCCGTGTGAAAACCAGTTTTGAATACACGGGCATGGATCTCCCGTCCTTCTGAAGTTGCTTTGAGCTTGCCACAGGCTTTAAGGAGAGAAGCGAAAGTGAAGCTGTCAGGACGAAACGAGGAGGATTTCAATTGAGAGTATAAAGAGAGGGCTTCCCTATAGAATCCACCCGAGACCAGTTTTTTAATATCACTTCTCATCGTTATCGACTCTCATTCCTCAAGCTAGAACTGGGCACTGGTCAGCAATTCAGCATAACGGTTGCAGATTCGCAGACTATGAAATGAAACTGTTTGCAATAAAAATCATTTGTACAATGCTGTCAACCGTCAGATCTGTTTCGAGAATGTGGCATGGACCGTTGGTGTTAGGTGGGCCACACGGGGGATCATTACCCATTACTCGTCAGGATTCAGGATAGCTTTTATTCAATTCAATCGTGGTGCAAATTATTGGGATGTTTTAGTAATACGCAACTCAAAAAGGGTATGCTTTTCACCCAAAAACTAAAAAGGGGTGTTTTAGTTAATACTGTAAAGATTAAAGAATAAGAAGTAGGGCTGTTCACGGGTCGGGTTGGGTCGGTTTACTGCGGTTTTTCCAACCGGCCTGACTTGGTCGGGTTACCTGAAATAGAAACCGAAACCGACCCAATGTTAAGCAAAACCGACCTAATCGGTTTGAGTCGGGTTGGGTCGGTTTGGGTTCTAAGTTCATCCCTGTGATAAAATCTTGCTAATTTTAAAAACAGTCATAAATTGAACATCATTTCAGCAATCTCCTATGATAAAATTTAAATGAAAAGTTAATCACAAAAGTTGTTCATTAATCACTATTCACTAATCCAAAGTTTCTTGCAACCATTCAAAAACTAAGTGGCCTAATGAGCTTTGGAACTTCATGTTTGAACTAGGAACTAAGTTGGTTCAGTTCGGGTCGGTTTCGGTTTTCACACAAGAAAACCGAAACTGACCCGTGCTGATGAAAACCCGGTCGACTCGGGTTGGATCGGTTCGGGTTGGTCGGTTTGGTCGGGTTGGACCTTCTTATGAACAGCCCTAATAAGAGGTGTTTTAGTAATCGTGGGCTAGGCATTTGTTAAATTTTGAATGGGCCTGAATCCTAACCCAGACCCAATGTAATTGAAGTTTTTGAATTTGGGTAACCCAACTTGAACCGAAGGTCGTCTTGTCATCTGTCAATGCCCGCTTCTAGTGCCCTAGAGTGTCCATAACCCAACTTGAACCTGTTTCATTCCACACCTGGGTTTGATTATATATAGGGGTGTCAATTAGACTAGATTTGGTTCAATCCGATCCAGTCCAATGTGAGTCCATTACAAATGGACCTGGTCTAATCCAGTCCGATGAATATTTTGGACCGGTCCAGAGATTGTTCAATCTGTTCAAATTCCTGTTAATTTAGACTGGTTTCAACTCAAACCTGGTCCATTGGCACCTATGTTCTTATCTTCTATCAATTGACTAGATATTGGTTTAATCCAATATAAATTCATTATGGATGGACCAGGTCCAATCCAATATGTCATATTAGTCTGTCCAGTCCGTCCAAATTCAATATGTTTTATTGGTCCATCCAATCTGTCCAAATTGATTTTGATTTGGATGGAATCCAACCCAAAACCGGACCATTGACACCCCTAATTATATATGCTTGAGGTCTGATTCTATGTGGGCCATGCCAAGCATCTTGATTCTGGACAATGCCTATATAAACCAATGAAGTCAAATTAATGAAACTATTGTGAAATTAGAATCTTAATTTATATTCAAATCTACATAAATTTGTTCTCATACTCAAAATCACATTTACCCCCTTGTTAGAAATGTAAATGAGGTTACATAGTATTGTACATCGGGTACAATTCGGGTTAGCCCATCTACACTGTTTCGGGTCAGGCTCAGTCCATTCAAATTTTGACAAAAACCCAACCCAACTTACCCAAGTTGCACCCCTTTCTAAAATCATAGCTGCAAATGGATCGAATCGGGTTGAACCAAATTTACCCAAACCTAAATTTGATTTGCTAAACACTGATTTAAATCAAATCTTTCCATGAACAAAAAATGACCTTGATATTATATATCATGAATAAAATGAATTGGAAATAACATGTGTCAAATTTGTAACTTATGACTCTTCAATAAAAATAAAATATTTAAAATAGATCAATATGGAATAATAGTGAATCAAATAAATGGATCCATATTCGATTCCATTATATAAATAGTAAATGGATTAATCTTGGATCACCCCCTTAACCAAATCTCGAATCTAAAAAATGGATATAATTTGCAGCCCAGCATTGTGCCTGGCTTGACGTGGACATGGCCTAGGAAAGGATTGGACCAAAAAAAATGTCTGGGTCTGGAAACTTTTGGGCCAGCGGGTTGGGCAATGTGGACCCGGTTGGTTTTGATCATTCCTAACATAATGGCAATGCCTTATATTTGTGCTCATGAGCTCATGACACGTGGGCCACGAGTGTTTGCCAAGTGTGTGTTTTGGTGTACGAAGCAAAGTTTGATCAGCCTTTACATCTGATTGTATGTGCAAGATTGTCTGCAGCAAGCCATACGAAACAGATCCGGATGCTCCAAATAAACGACAAACTGTTAATCGAATGACGTAAAATTATACATGGTGTAAGTACATTTTGGCTGATATTGTGTTTACTTTATACTTTATTACTATAAAAGGAGGTTTCGTAGTCGCGTCATAATTACCCTGGCATTTCAACAAAGGAGCTCGAAGAGATACTATGGCTGACGATGAAACCGTAAGCGTATCTCTGCGAAGCACCAAACCCTAACTCTCCAGTTCTCTGTCCCTGCGTCGATCCTCCGCTATAGAAAGCTTTATCTGATCCGTTCGGCTTTCTATCCGATACATCAAGGATCTCTTTCTGTTAGTGATCGTGTAATTCATGTACGAATAACCAAAGCCGGTGGAAGAAAACCCTAGCCCTTTTTGATAGTCTGAAACCATCGAAGAGTCGGAGCTTCTTGCCGTGCTTGTTTACAGGTGAGTTATTATACTGATTGCTTTCTTCTTTATGTTCCAAATTTGTGGTCTGTTATTATATTGATTGATTGATTTCTTCTGTATATTCCAAATTTGTGTTGCTTGATTTAGTTTTAGGTTGAAGAACATAAGAATTTTCTATTTTCCTTTAGATTGTTTTGTTTGTTTGAATAAGGGAGAAATCCTAATTTGAGCTGCAGTTGTTTGAATAAACGATTGGCTTACATTAAATTGGGGATGAAGCCCTCGTTATTAGATCTTTGGGTTTCTGATTGTGTTGGTATTAGGTGAGTCTAATGGCTTTTAAGGATGTCACTGAACTTCACTTCATTTGCGGCAAATGTGTCCAACTCAATTGATATTATTTTCCAGAGTTGAAAATAAGATACAATCATGATTTATGCGGAAAAACAGTAATATCATTTTGTATTTCTTTCGTTTTAATTTGTCATACGTTTGAACTAGATTGGAGTGATTGTAAATGGCACGGTGCTGAGAATGAAGTTCATGCTTTAAACCTTTGTGGTGGGATTTTCTGGCTGTAAATTCTTGTCCCAGAATTCTGGGACATACAGAATTCTGTTTATTGTCCCACTTTGTGTTTGGTTTTGCTTCTTACTTACTCATTTGGTTGTATTTGCACCATTGAGCTAGGGCTTTTTTTATACTATCTTTTAGATTTTCAGTTAATATAATTCGATTCCTAGACCAAAGAAACTGCTTTGATTGTACATCCTAGTAATTGGTCTATTTCAGAGAGGACAATCTCTGAGTTTAGGATTCTTTTGGTTGACTTCTGGTTGAAATCTATAGGCAGTGACGATGTCTACTCCTGCAAGGAAGAGATTGATGAGGGATTTCAAGAGGTTGCAACAAGATCCTCCTGCGGGCATCAGCGGGGCACCTCAAGATAACAATATAATGCTTTGGAATGCTGTTATATTTGGGTAACCATTTCTATCCATTTTTTTTTTGTGGTTTTCTGACGCACCTTTGGGATTACTATCTGGTTGTGTCTTACCAATGTATTTGTCTTGGTTTTGCATTTCAGACCTGATGACACTCCTTGGGATGGAGGTGAGTCAATTCTTGAACCCCAATATTTGACTTGATGTGGGTGTTATATCATGTGGCAAATGGGTCAATTCCTTTTATCAAATAAGCTTCATGAATGGTTGTCTTGGTTTCAGATGATAATCTCTCTATATTCTTTATCAGAACATCAATTGATTGCTACTATTTGGTTCAAAAGTAATTCATTATGGCTTAATGTTTTATATTGATCCCACCATTGGCATAATTTTGATAGTATATGTGGTTGTCTTCCCAATCATTGTTCTTACAAGACCTTTCAATTCTAATCTGCATACTCTAATTATGCGGGATATTTTGTAGGCACCCCCACCAATGGCACAACAGTTGTTTTTATGAGACCTTTGAGTCACAGCCTCTGTACTCTAGTATCTTATTTGGATGTAGTCTATGGATGGAATATTTACACCTTTTCCATGATCATGATCAAGGAGTGCATTAGCATCTTTGGGGGAGAACTACAAATCAAAGGCCATCTGGGAGCCCATACTGGAGAAGGTAGATAGAAAATTAGCATCTTGGAAGACCAAGTACTTGTCCAAAGGAGGAAAAGTCACTCTGATTAAAAGTGTGTTGTCATCCCTTCCGGTATTCTATTTATCTTTATTTCCAATCCCAGCCAAGTGGGTGGCAGCGTCGGAAAAGATAATGAGAAACTTTTTGTGGAGAGTGCATATGGAACCCCCAGTTTAGAATGGACAGTGCATATGGAACCCCCAATTTAGAGGAACCTGAACGGCTGGGAAGTGCTGTCACTGATGAGCTTGCTCCAGATTCTTTATGATTCAGAAATGTCTGGTCTAGGGGAAGACAAAAGTTAGAGAAGTCGAGTGGCTTTTCTGTAAGATCCGTTTTCAAATCTGTCGCAAGGGAAGAGACCACACCATATCCAAGTGACAGGATTTGGATTAAAGTTGTCCCTTCTAAACTGGCCTTCTTTGTCTGGTCAGCAGTGCTGGACAAGATCCTAACAAAGCAGAATCTGGTCAGAAGAGGTCTACAAATGACAGATTTGGATTGCCTCTTATGCAATGGTAATGTGGAGTCTTCTGGTCACTTACTGATTCAATGTGAATTTACTCATTGGATCTGGTTAAGGGTAGTATGTGTGTTTGATGTATTATGGTGCTTCCCAGCTGAAGTGAAGGGTCTCATTGAGGCATGGCATCTAGAAGGTTTAAGTAGAGCTGGAAACGTAGCATGGAGTGTACTTCCTTCAGCAGTTTTATGGGCTGTGTGGAGTGAAAGAAACAGGAGACTGTTTGAAGGGATTCAAGCTTCAAAGCAAGAAATCCTATGTAAAATTCTGGGGATGGCTCATTCTTGGTTGGCAGTTCACCCTTTGTTTAGAAATAGACATCCTAGTTCTTTCTTTGATTCGGATTTTCTTTTTTGTAAGGAAAAGTTAGTTGTTTTCTGGGTTTTGGGCTGTAGGGAGCAGATTGTATATCCTCTGTTCAGTTTATCATTGTACAGGGGCTCTTTGTTGGCCTTTTGATTTAATGAAATACTTTACATTGCAGTTCAAAAAAAAAGGGGTGCATTAGTGTGTAAGTCCTTTCCACCCAAGTACTGTTGGGAAGCCCCCAGTACTTAACAGCCATGGGAGTATTTGTCACAAAGTGAAAGTTCAGGGGGTCTTTGCAATTTACCCTTTGGTTTATACATTGTTTGATCATAGACATGGTGGGATAGCATAGCAGGGTTCATGTAGAAAACCTCATAGTTGGGGACTTGGGGTAAGGCCTAGCTGAGTTGTGTTGGAAGTTTATGAGTTGCATAGGAAATATTCTTTTCGGTGCTTTTTTTTTTTGAAAGAAAGAATTTTCTGTGCATTGTGGCATGAAGATTACTACATCCATGTTAGAACTGGATGCCTTATTTAACTATACATGCAAAGGAGTATCTTTATGTTACTAATACCCTCATACACGGAAACCATGGTCTGGAATGATTCTGTTGAATTACATACTGTATACCACATTGTTGTATGATATGCTACTACATGGTATATACTAATTACTAACAGTTCTTATGATCATTTTTGGGCATTTACTAAAACACCCCTATAGTTTGCAACCATTTTACTTAATCGACCTGGTATTAGACGGAAGTGGAAAATGACAGTTTTCACCATAACATCTGTTTGAAGAAATTTAATCAAACGAAAATAAAAATGGAAATGTTGTTCTTGCCCTTGGCAAAGTGCATGGAAACTCTTCTACCACATAGACAAAAAGATGAAGAAGAGACATCACAATGAGGTCACACGTTCTAATTAATGTTTTAAAATGTGGAGGCGTGACACAAAAGAGAAAGTTTTCCACTACCTAGAGGCATGGGGCGTAGTTCAGAATGTAAGAGGCGTAAGCCTCCCGAACGCCTCCTTAAGAGGAAGGGGAGGAGGAGGAAGAAGGGGGGGAGGGGGGAGGAAGGAATGGAAGGAAGATCTCATTTTTCTTTATTTTTAATAAAAATATTTTATTTTTGGAAGAATGTAGATGCATAACACTAGCTGAAATGGAACCCCCAGCCCACCTTCTTTCTCCTTCTCTTCTCTTCCCTTCCCTTCCCTTTTTTTTCTTCTCTTTCTTTATTTTTCTTTCCCTTCCCTTTCTTTTCTTTTTATCTTTTTTTTTCTGTCTTTTTATATGAGGTGTGTGTGAGGTGCATTAGGCATAACACCTCTAGCATGCCTCATGAGGTGCCAACGCCTCTGTCATATGCCTTGGGCCGTTTTGGGGGTGCCTTGCCTGGAGGCATGCCTCGAGGCATACGCCTCCCATGCCCTTTAAAAGACTGGTTCTAATTGATGCAAGCCAACTGTAGCTTGTAAACATGGACCATGAGAAGCAGAAAATCACCATGATTGGCATCTCTTCTTCATCTTAAGTCAGGGTGTATGATAATTACTCTCTAAATCTATTATCATCAAACAAAATATGGAGCTAAAAGATGGCACCTGATGTAAAGCTTCAATCTAACACATCAAACATCTTCTCCAACCAAGTTCTGTTGTGGAAGGGAGGGTTTTCTTCCTTGAAGCTTGATATGAAGTGCTAGGGGTACTTTTGGGATAAACAACCATGGGCCCATGCCTTAAAACATTTCCAACTCGGTTTAGGTGGTCATGTGACCATTTTCAGGTGACAATATAAATGGTTCTTAACGGAAGGTCAATTAAGTAAACTGGTTTCCGACCACATGAGGGTGTTTTAGTAAAACACGATCTATAGGGTAGGTCTTAGTAAATTGCACATCTTTTTTCTTAATGGCAGAGTAATTGAAAGTGGATTTATTGAAGTTTGTAGATTGATGTATTTGTTTTTCATTTTGCTGATATCTGTTTAGTTATAGGAATTTGATCCTTTTATGTTTGCTTGTGGCACGCCATTTTACTTAACTACATTTGTTGACATCTTGCCTTGCTTGACTCTTCAGGTACGTTTAAGTTGACACTTCAGTTTACAGAGGACTATCCAAATAAGCCACCAACTGTGCGATTTGTTTCTCGCATGTTCCATCCAAACAGTAAGCAGAGAGAAAACTATACACCACATTACCTCTGATTCTGATATTACAATTTATAGTTAGGATCACTATATTATCATTTTTCCCATCCTAGTCTCTGTTCTCAACCTGTCATAGAGCCACAAATTGCATTCTCTTAATTGTATTTTTTGTACTGTAATTTCCCCCACCTTTTCATAAGTTTGCTGTCTTTAAAAAAGATACTGAAATTTCTTCGGGTGTCTTGGGTTCAAGTTTACCTATTTATATAGAACACACTTGTGCTTTTGATAAATGCTGGTTTATATGCTTCCCATATGTAGTGTATCTTCCTTCTCTTCCAGTGAAAATTTATCTGCATTGGTTTAGCATATGTTATTTGTTCGCCTTATGCAACTCATAACTTTCTTTTGGTTCATCAATTTTACCAGTTTATGCCGATGGGAGTATTTGCTTGGATATTCTACAGAACCAGTGGAGTCCAATATATGATGTTGCAGCCATACTTACATCTATCCAGGTTCACCTGATTCTTCCTTTATTCTATGGTGACTGTTTACACTATACCATTTTCTACAAGACTACAACTAATGGGGAGTGATTCAATGAGGAATTATTTACACCATGGTTTTCTACAAGATTTCACTACCTATGGTTTAATGGAATTTTATCTTCCACTAATCACAAAAGAAAAGGAATTTGATCTCCAAAACCCCTGTTTCTTCTTTTTATCATACTGAATTTTGAGTAGAAATAGAAAACAATGCCATTGAAATTGTCCTTGCCTTTGCTGAGGATGGAGTGTAGAATCAAAATCTTGGCATGTTAGTAGGCTGTCTTTATTGCTATTAGTGTACTAGTATGTCATAAAAGAATCTTGTTGGTGGTTGTGGGTTGGTGGGTGCTGGAGATGGGGGGTGGAGGATGTTTACAAAAACATCCTCAGCTGGCTACTGAAAAATTCTTTTAGATTATATTGTTCATGAAGGTAAACTTTGCTTAAGGAGCTTAGCAGGACCAATTTCGGGATGGAGTGAGTGCTTTCAAGTTTAAAAATTGTAAGAACATCCTTGTAAGTAATGGCAGAGAGTTCTATTAATAAGAAGGTGGGAAAATGATTGCCACAACTTGTAGGATATCTTAAGTTTCTGAAATTTTGGGGAAGCTGCACAGTTTTGGCTTGCTTTTCTTCTTTTGTGATAAATTTATTCTCATGTTCCCAAAGAAAGGGCTGGTCGTTTTCATAGAAAAGAAACATACCTGTTGAATCCTAACTGTCCTATGACCATCTTGTCATTGTTCTACATGATGGCAAGCCGGACTTGTTGGTAAACAGAGGCAATTGAGCCTCATGAATAGCTTGGCAATTCGGAGCTTTCTGTGGCGAAGGAATAGAAGAAAATTTGAAAGAAAAAAAAAATCTGTAATGATTGAATAAATTCTATATTGAGAGATTTCTTCATTTCTTTTTTTTTTTGTCTTACTCTTTATTATCCCTGTTGACCATGGGTATTCTTGTCTTTTTATCTCATTAGTAATTGACATAATAAAGGAAGAATGGAGGCAGCACACGACTCCCCCCCGGTTCTCTTCCCTCCTGAAACTGTCTTCTTACTTTTTTCTCTCTAGACTCTTTTCTTCGTTCTTTATTCAGGTCAGATTATTTTCTACTTTTGTTAGACAATTTTTAAGCCATTTGACCCATGTAAAGAGTGTAGGCTTTTATTCTCTTCCCTCCTGAAACTGTCTTCTCACCTATTTCTCTCTCTTGACTCATTTCTTTCTTTCTTCTGCTAGAATACATTCAGATCAGATCAGATTGAGCTGGGTTTTTTGTTTACTTGATTTAGTTGGGGGTCTCTTGTTTTTATTCCAGGGAGACCAGTTTTTTGTTGGCTTTTCTGTATAGTTTCTGGCTGTACATGGAGCTTCTGTGAACTATGATTGTTTACAGTTATACTCATTAATACAATTACCTTACTTTTTCTCAAAAAAAATCAGATCAGATTATTTCTACTTTTGTTAGGCAATTTTTTTAGCCATTTGATATTTGATTTAATAAAACTACTTTCATTCATAAAAAAAAAGCCATTTGACCGTGTAAAGAGGTTCTGTAGGCCATGTACAGGGCCTTGGTGTATATGCAGAAGACATCTGTATAAATAATTAGATATTATTTTCTTCAATTAGGTTGTCTTCATCCAAGTAAGATCTTAAGTGTCTTTTTTAATGCATATGCAGTATGTACAGCGCATGTACAGGGCCTTGATGCAGATGGTCATGCTTTTGTAATCTTTTTTTTATTTTGGAAATATATTATATTACCCGTTCAAAAAACAAGTCTTTTTAATGCATCAGTCCACATGACATAACTAAGCCGTTGTTTCTGATTGTAGTCGTTGCTCTGTGATCCAAACCCAAACTCACCTGCAAACTCAGAAGCGGCACGGATGTTTAGCGAGAACAAGCGCGAGTACAACAGGAGAGTACGTGAAATTGTTGAGCAGAGCTGGACGGCTGACTAATATTCTCCTGGTTAGGGTGCTTTGGATGTTTTCAAAAGCTTGGGATATGTTGAGTAATTGTGACACTTATAAACCATTGTATTGCAAACTCCCTTTAACTTCAATGTTAATTGTATGTTGGCTTCTTTTATGAGGATGTTAGGCCACTTTATGTTGATTTCTAGTAAACTTCGCACATTGCATGTCCTGGAAAGTTCATGTACATACTACATAGCACTCCCCTGTATTAACTTGCTTCGGTTTATGAATTAAATGCATCAAGATGATGAATTGATGATCATGATTGATTGTGTGCTCAGTAAAATTGTTAGCTGAATGATGAGTAGAGGAGAGATATGGTGGATATGTTGGTGGTGAACCACTGCAACTTGTAGGATGGTCTCTATGTTTCCAGTTTCCTATGTGCAACAACAACCTTCTGAACCCTAATTCCATGATCCATTCATGCTTTGATAAAAGATAACTAAGAACATGCATTAGGACCAGTGTGCCTAATATCCTCTTAATATGTTTGCTTGCTCACCAAAGCTCTGAGAGCCTTTTATTTGCCTCGAGGGTGTGGCACAAAGGTTGTTCGTAGAATCATGAAAGAAATATGATTTACATCACATTAGCTATTTGAAGTAATGTAATTGAAGAAAAAAAAATGTAGGTTTTACATGAAAATGTTTTATATGTTTGATTTTATTTTTAAATTTTCGTTTGAATATATTTTAATATGTTTGCTTGTTCACCAAAGCTCTAAGAGCCTTTTATTTGCCTCGAGGGTGTGGCACAAAGGTTGTTCGTAGAATCATGAAAGAAATATGATTTACATCACATTAGCTACTTGAAGTAATGTAATTGAGAAAAAAATGTAGGTTTTACATGAAAATGTTTTATATGTTTGATTTTATTTTTAAATTTTCATTTGAATATATTTTACATGTTCTTTTTATATTTTAATTTTAGATAATAGGTTTTTTAAACCTTAATTTTAAAATTTATATTTATATTTTTTATTAATATTATGTTTAATCTTTTATTTTTGATTTTTTTGCAGTTTTTTTAGTTTTTTGGATTTTTTATTTTTAGCTTTTTTCTGCATTTTTGTGCCTTGTTTCAAAAAGGCACATGCCTTGTCTTGCACCTTTTTTGTGCCTTGTGCTTGGTTTGGGGCACCTTGGAGGCTCAATTCCCCTAATAGCTTATGTCAAAAAAAAAAAAAAGTGGAACGAAAAAAGAACTCGAGATTCTAAAATCTTGGGAAAATTTTAGGGATTCTAGCTGATAAGGGCAACTTTGGGCCCTAATATCAATAAAAAATAATCTTTTTAATATAATTTCTATAATGGATTAACTTTTTATTTAAAATATCAAAAAGGGGCAAAAACATTGTTCATCTTCTTCTCCCTTAAACCACCGAACAAATCTCTCCACCTCTATCTCTCTCTCTCTCTCCCCCTTCTTCAGATACCTCTACCCTTTTGTTGTTCTTGAATTTCGATTTGTTTTCTTTGTAATCCATTAGGAGTGCATTCCTCTGCTTGATTTTCTAGAGAAACCAGCACTGAATCTGGCTAGCCCATTCCTTTACTTTTTGATTCTCCATCTCCAAGCTTCCCACCCCTCTGGTAAGCAAGTCGAATGGTGGCTCTTTGCTCGACCCAACTGATCTTCCCTCAAAGAAGCTCCATCAGTGGTGAAATTACGCCAAATTTCACTTCTTCTGCCTGATTTTCTAGAGAAGCCAACATTGAATCTGGCTAGCCCATTCCTCTGCTTTTCGATTCTCCATTTCCAATCTTCCCACCCCTCTAGTAAGCAAGTCAAACGACGGCCCTTTGCTTGACCCAACTAAACTTCCCTCAAAGAAGCTCCATTAGTGGTGAAATTACGCCAGATTTCACAACTTCCTCTGCGGACCTTGTTCATAGTGTAGGAATCGATGACGTGAGTGGCATAGTAGGAATGTAAATATTCTGGTACTTGAAGCAACTTTGGACGCCATTAAAGCTTAAAAATCAGGATCGGGGGAGATCTGTTCGATGGTTTAAAGGAGGATAGGAGATGAATAGTCTTTCTGCCCCTATTTGATTTTTTTTTTAAAATGTTGACCTATTTTAATAATTATTTTAAAAATATTGTTCTTATTGATATTAGGGCCCAAAAGTTGCCCTTATCGGCTATAATCCCAAAATTTTATTCTGACCTAGGGGTGGCAACGAGACGAGCTTTTCACAAGCTGCTCGAGCTCGGTTCAACTCGGTTTCAGTCGAGCTTGAGCCTAATTCAGTGGCTTGATTATTAAACGAGCCAAGGTTGAGCCTAGTAGAGTTCAGCTTGTGAGGCTCGCGAGTTGGCTCAAATATATATATATATATATATATATATATATATATATATATATAATAAAAATATTATAATTATTAATTATTATAATTAATTTTTTAAATATAAAATAAAAAATTTTTATATATAATTTTCATTTTTATAAAATATTTTATAATAAAATATTTTTATAAAATATAAAACTAGCCGAGCCGGGCCGAACTCGAGCTTATGAACTTTTGACTTGAGCCAAGCTCAAGCTCAAGGCTCTGGCTCGAACCGAGCTCAAACCTTGTAGAATAGTCTCGAGCGAAGCTCGAGCCTGATTCTATTCGGCTCGGCTTGGCTCGAATCCACCCCTATTCTGACCTATGAACCTATGATGCTAATAAAGCATTTTTGTTGAGAAATGAGAACAATAACTAAAGGAAAGGAGAACGAAGGCACAAGACAGCCCTCAGCCCGCTGGCCAAGGTAGAAATAACCAAATCCCTCCTCCCAAATAGATTGGATCATTTGGATGCATGGTTTCTTCATCGGGTTTGACATTAAGTAGAGATTTAAACTTTAAGGACACCTGGCCACCTTCTGGTCTCAGTCCCTGCCAGCCCAGCCCAGCCTTTTCTGCCTACATGTCCTCCTTATTGTCCTTGACCTCGTTGTGATGGCAGTAGTAGCAGAGACTTGCGGTGAAGGCGTTTGCAAGGGTTGAAGCTTTTCAATGTCGTAGATGAGAGGAGGAACGGCGGGTTTGGACTTGAAGCGGATGAAAGATCGAAATCGAATTAGGAAATGAGGATTCCAATTTAGAGGTGTTCATACTTCGGTTATTTTTTCAAATTAAACCAATAGTATTAGTTTTTGGAAAGCGGGTAATTAAAATTGAACCGAAGTCAATCAATTAACCGGTTGATTGGCTCGGTTAATCACTGATTCAATTTATTGGTTTGTTGGGTTTTTTATAATATATATTATAAATAAATATATAAATATATAATCAAAAAATAGAAATATATATATAATATCTAATATATAAATATATGCATATCGGTTGATTTGATTAATCATTGGTTTTTTATATTGATTAACTGAAATCAAACTGATACCTTCAATTTTTCGAGAATACCAAACGGAAATTAAACTAATCAGTTTGATTAACAGGAATTTTCGATTCAGTCTCATTGTTTGATTTTTTGTTTTTGGTTTTTCTTCCCTAAGAACTACGACTATATTTGACCAAAAAAGGAATTTATATCAGAACCTAAAAGTATCATCGCACAGTTTGTTTTATTGTAAAAAAGGCAAGAATTTTCCATTTTGATATATTTCAGTTATAACTCTGCCCTTTTAAGGCCAATACTTCCTAGTTCCTACTGTAAATGTGACCTATACAAAAAATAAGACAGACCTGGCAATTGGGTTGGGTGGGTCGGGTTAGGGTTGGGTTACTGTATTTCGGGCTGATTTTGGGTTGGGTTATCAAATGTTAGACCCTAATCCTAAATGTTTGGGTTAGGGTTGACCCATGGGTCAATTAGGGTCATCCCAAAAAATAACTGAAATTTAAAAAATAAAGAAAAACTACATGGAAATGCCAAAATTAAAGGAATTAGCCTTAAAATTTCAAATATAAAATAAAAAAGCTTGAACACTTAACAATTTAAAGAGTAAAGACTAATAGAAAAAATTAAAGAGTGTAAACTTCATAAATAGTCCCAATTAGACTTGACAATCAGGTCAGCGGGTTGACCCATGACCCAACCCAACCCCTTTTTTTGTTGGGTCAGGTTGGGTCAATCTCACATTCGGGTAGCTAAATACAACGTTTTTGAACTGCTGTTGACTCGGACGGCCCGAGAATCGTCTAGGCAACCGATTCAGTTTTACCGAAAACCGGTGGTCAAAACGGTTCCATTTCTGAATCGTTTTTTAAAACGTTGGCTAAATATGAGACCCTAACCCTGTTTTTTCGGGTTGAATTGGGTTGGGTTCACGTGTTGGATCAACCTTTTGCCAGGTCTAAAAATACCCACCTTAAGTAAAGAAAGAAGTGAGGTCGGTTAAAAATTTTGATCTATTGTCTCCATTTTTTTCTATTATTTCTCTCGTTTATAAGTTAAACTCTTACAGTAAAGGGAAAAAAATCAACATAAGAAAAAGTGATAATCAAGCATGATTTGTCGTACCAAACAAATGGGTGTCCTAATCGGTTTTACATTTTGAACCTAGTGATGAAAACCAATGTCTTTTTTTTTTTTCTTATAATGATCATTTTAAAAATTAATAATAATCATTTTAAACTGTTATGGTTTGACCTATGGTTTTAAAAAACGATTAAAAAATGGAATCATTCTGGCCATCGGTTTCTGGGTTGACAGTTTGATCATCTGGTTCGAATGGATGATTCGTTTTGGCAGCAAAATTAAAAATAAAAAACAGCCAAAACCATTGAACGGGTTGATGGGTTGACGGTTCGATCACCCGGATCAATAGGTCGTTGGCCGATTCAACGATTTTTGGCAAAAGATCGGGTTTAGAGTAAAACGGAACCATTGTTTCTAGGCCAAATGGTCTGACTGTCCTAGTTAACGGTGGTTCAAAAACCCTGGTTTTTTCGAAAAATAGCTTTAAAATGGTTTTTTCGAAAAAATGCTTTTTAGGTATTTGTTTGGTCATCCGCATTTTTATTCAAAATAATTTCTTCCAAATGTAAAAAAGTTACATGGATGGGTTTTTTCCTGCATTTTTAAACGGAGTTTTTGTTTAGAAATTTTCTATCAAACACAATTTGACCAGCTTTTGGCCTCTCTAACGCAAAATAAAGCAAAAGGTACAAAAAGCCCGTTGAAAAAATATGGGATAAAACCATTGTTTGATTTAAAGTTTATCAAATAAATAATAATAATAATTAAAAATATTTTTATTTATGTGCGTTGTTTTCACACCTGGGCATTCAAGAAAACGAAATGC